TACACATTGCATATCAAGATATACATGTACAATACGTACTTATATGCCTAAAAAATAAATCGGGCAGTATCTGTAAGTTGAGCTTTAACCTTCTACGTGACAGGTATGGCATGTCAATCGAACTGCTGGTGGTGACTAGCAGCATGCAAACAATCTAATAGGAGATTGCAGTTCAGTAAGATTTTAGATTTAAGCTTTGTTTTTTTAGGTTAAGCGTATGTACATCTACTAAAGACGAACGTATTGTACGGTATAGGTACTTTGATCGGCCAAAGAGCTTGTGATATATATATATATATATACAGCTGACGTGTACACGGTCCAAAAATCGATCGTATTCTAGTTTCTAACTGTGAAAGATTCCATTTTGATTTTTCTCCGAGTTCAACCGATGTTGAAAATGAATGTTGTCGATACAAGCGTTCAGAATATTCTACATCCTTCGACTTGACTATTTTGGTATATTAAGTCATTGACTAGTAATGCTACTGATTTACATTGGTATATTACACGATTTGTATCAGTAGTAAGAAACGTCAACAAGGACAACTATTCGAGAGAAACAATATTGTTGCTCAAAACCATTCGTAACTAATAATAATGCCTTTTTATCAGATGTTTAAAATAGGAACTAATATGAATAAAAATAAATAAAACGTGGAAAACAATTATGTAAAATTACAAATAACTTAAATCCATAACCTCATCAGTACCTAAAGATTAAAACGTATTATAATTGTTAGAAGTAATATGAATTAATTTTAGCATACTATACGTTTTAAAAGTGTTCGTATCATTATGTACTAAAAAATAGTGTCAAATGTCAGTCAGTGGCTACGTTTCTAGGCATATTTTAATGAAAAAAAAAGAGTGTAATATTTATATTATACTTAATAATCAGATAAATTGGTACCAATACGATAACAACTAAAAGTACCTATTTAAGGATTGAGTTTTGTTCTTATTGATTTTTCTTTCATACACCGTTTGCTTATGATAAATTATATAAAATGGTTTTGACGATGAATTAAAGATTTGTATGACTTTAATTCAAAACCAATGTTTGAACAAGGATTGTAAAGGAAAAATAACTCTATTTATCTCATACGTACGTATGTAATATGTACATATTTTATTATTTGAGAAATAAATCAAATAGCCACAAATAACACTATAAGTGATATCTAAAAAACACAACGAAATATTAGTGCATTTTTTTATGACTATTATGGAGTACCTACTGGTAAAGTAATTAGACATAAATAATAAATAATATTAATTTTTGAAGCTAGACTTAACAGCATCAATAAATAAAGTTTATCCTTGTTTATTAAGTGATAATTCGTTTTTTATGTTGTTTATCTATATTTAAACTATTCAGTCGAAGCGAATTTTTCTTGAACCTATCAATGAATTTTGTTTTGAAAAATTTGCATTTATTATCTGCGTCTTCTTAATGAGAAGATTATAATGTTATAATCAGATGAAACAATTTATTTATGATATTAGTTATTTGAGAAGGTATATAATATATATTACACACATTTATTGACATTACATTTAAATGCCTACCTACCTAAAATACTAAATCCGAGTTGCATGAACCATCACTAAACATTTAACGAATCAATAGTGAGCTAATGGTCCTTTTCAGTGGCCCATAATTAATCCATTAAATCTTATTGGACGCAAAATTAATATATTTTTCATGCAACCCTGCATAAATATATTAAATACTATTTAACGATTGACTAATCAACGGATAGTCAAAACTACGATAGCTAAATTTTCGTGGTACCTTCATACCACAGTGTAAAGGTATATCAAGAAAGAGTTTTTATAAATTCGTATTCTAAATATGGCTTTATGCTGGAATTTTGTTTCGCCAAACGGAAATCAAATATTTTTTAGTTTATTTACATCTAATATCTATCATTGATGTTGGTTACCATTGGTGAAGTAATAAAAAAATTGTAATAAACATAAAAATATTTATTTTTTTTTGTCCTCTATAGGCTCAAAAACTGATCTGTTTTCAGTAAAAGTTATATCAATAGATTTCTCGAGACTCAGGAAGGGTTTATAGCTAGGGTTCTTAACCCACATAGGTCGTTAAAGAGTGGGCCACACATGAGTTTAGTTATGGCTTATGAAAATCAAATCAATTTTTTTTGTGTACTAAAATGGTTGCTATTGATATACATATTGGTTGATATGATTGGATATAATTTTCTGTATTGTATATTTGTATTATATTTTGTCATTTAGGCTAATAAATCTATTCTATTGGGGGAAATCTGGCACATTTTTAACTATACCTATTTAATTAACAGTAATTGCATTACAAATAGCATAGGTCTACAAAATAAACTTGACGTGCAAAGCATTTCATGATCGATATATTTACTAATATTATAAAAACAAAATGCATACGCGCAATTTCAACGAGTATAGTGTGTTCTTTATATATTAGAGTAGAAGCACTTATCAAAGTGTGAAAAAAATACTGTATTAGCATTCAGTTTTACAATATTATGCGGTTTTTTTTTAAACTATAAGTTGTTTTCGTGCATTCGAAATTCAATTGATTTCAAAATTGTTTTTGCTCAATGTAAAAATAACTCCAAAAAATGGTTATTTTCAAACTTAAAATTTTTTTTTTTCAAAAATCGAAAAATATGTTAAGCGTTTCTTGACATTTTTTTAGACCGGAGTAAAATCCAGGCTTTCAGTCATATATTATATTTAAAAATTAACCGCACTTCAATATCTCTATTACATAACGAATTATAGCACTACTAACTTTCCAATTAATTAATATTTAACATAATGTGTAGTGCAGAATGCAGATATACGAACCTAGAGACGCCTACGCTCTTTTACTGACACCCTCAACAGTTCAAAAAAAGATTCTTTTTCGTAAAAGTTTGGAATTAAAAACCACTGAATAGCAATTAGTATATTATAGATTATATAGTGTAATATCATTACAAAAATAAAATATCAAGTTTATGATATACCCACACGCATTGTCGCATTGAATTGAATATTATAGCCACATTTCTGAACAGCTATTACTTTTAATGTTTTCGATAAGAACTTTATTAGGAAAATGTGTGAAACTAGCGAACAGCTGGTGCCCTGGTGGTTAGTCATTCGCGTGTTTCATTATATCTTTGCCTTTGGTACTTAATAAATCGTTTTAGCAGTTTTCATGATTGGTGAGTATTATATTTATATTTTACTAAAACAAATTATTTCATGGTGAGTAAAAGCGGGAGATTAAACAAAAAGAAAATGGACACAATACTTTAAGATAACTCAGAAAAATAATAAAGCGTTATGTTGATTGTATAATGAAAGAGTTGTTAGAAGCAGTAAAAAAACATTTTGAAACAATACATACAAATTACAAACATATTTTCATTATGGACTGAAGAAAAGTTAGAATTAATTTCCCAAAAAGTGGAACGTTTTACAAATCAATCAAATAATTTCAAAGTTGCGTTTATACCAAGTAATAATTTAACAGCCACTAGTTTTTCTGTATCCCACTGTATTGTTAAATATGGTAAACCATGTTTCTGATGAAGAATATATAGAAGAAGATATTTTTTAGTGGATTCAAATACGTTATTTCAGGATTTTGCAAATAAAAATGAAATAAAAAAACATATTCGGGATTTACCTATTAGTGGAAATACTGTTATTGGACGTATTCTTTGTATGAGTAATGACTATACGAAATCAGTTTCAAACGGATTTAACTTCAGCAGACTATCTTTTCGATTTGTCGAATTTGTCTATATTTATAGTTAGAATAATTATTTTTCTTATAAATTAACAATTTGTGTAACATACTTATATGCTTTTTATACTTTTAAGTGTATAATGTATTTAAATTGTTGTATAATGTAATGTTAAACTTGTTCTTTTATCATTTAAGTCATGAACGTAGGAATTTTTTAAGTTTAAAAAAAAGGTTATCAAATTAGGTGATACACCGGAAAAATGAAATTAAACCAAAATTTTTATTTGACAATTGGTTACAGATAACTACCGAAAGGTTTGCGTCTCTGGACTACATAATGTATATAAAAGGTAAAGTTTATGCATCTGAGGCTTATAGAATAAAACAATATTCGACCGATTTTTACGATTCAAGAAAGGTTTGGATAATCGATTGAAACTGTTATTTTAGGTTGGTTTACCTGCTTTTGATAATATTAAAACCATAAACACATATTCGTTGGTTTCTGCTTGAAATTGGTTACACGTATGAAAAAAAGTTAATTACAGTATTACTACTAACCACCACAGGTGGTTTGTCCATCTCGGTTTCATAATCTGCGGACCCATCAGATAATACAACTACGATAAACTATGAAGGAGTTTATTTTACTGTCATAATTATTTATGGTTATATGTGTAAAATATTGTAGAATAAGTAATATCACATTTGTATGGTCTCATTTTATATTATAACACGTAACGATATGACTATTATAATAACATTTCCAGTGCTTTAAATGTGCGAGGAATGCAGTCCTCTTTAACTTAATCATGACTTCGTTAAGTGGGGAATATAAGGAATTATTTTAAAACTTGCAAACTTATTTTTTTTTTGAAATTGCTCCATATTTTTAACTATTTATATTGTTAGTTTTAGTCAAACACTGAATGACAATAATTTCAACCAAAATACAATGAGTAGAAAAAATAGAAGGTCATGCTATAAGTGATTTCGAACAAAATTATTATTAGTTATTGTTTTTAAACATATGTTTCAATAATAGTTTAAATGCGTAGACAATTTTATGTATTCATTCATTCTATGACAATTAAATATGTTTTTGCCCAATGTAATAATTGTTCTTACTATTAATAACACTTGGAAAGATATTTACCATTGTATATTATGCCACATCGTAATAACTTGTACAAATGTTTTGAACTAATTATTTCAGTGAATTCATCATGCATATAAAAAACGAATATAATTCATCATTCAAAATATTATGCTTTTATATATAAGTCGATGTCATTCGTACATTTAAAAATGCGTATCGTGTGTGCCTAAATATCTTAACGAGTTTGTAATCAAATAGGTAGGTACGTATATTGTTATTTTTAAATAGTAAAATCATTCGTAATGTTTTAGAAAATTTGAAAAGTTATAGAAAATCTTGCGTAAAATACAAACTAAACTTTTTTTTTTAAACTAAGAATCAAACAATTTTTGTTATTTGGTTAAGTGCCTATACTATTATTAATATTCGTTTGTCTATTATGTAAATGGTAGTAAATTTGCAGTAACAATATCGGTATTATTAAAATGTATAACACTCATTAAAAAGAAATATGGTTAAAAAGTTAATTATGATAGATTACACTCTTACATTCATACATCGCAATGATATTGGATAAATATAAATTAAGTAAACATTTATGATTGTAACACGTAAATTGTACTTTGTTATTTGATTTTTTTATGACATATTCAAATATTTCAAAAGTTTTATTCTTGTGTTTCGTGTACTTATATTATATCTATTTACATTAGAAAATGAAGATTTAAGATTAATACGATTTAAATACTTGTTTTTGATTATGAAAATATGAATTATGTTTCAGCTCACATGATAGCTTACAATAATTTTTAAAAACATGAAACGATTATGCAGATCAAAGTTCTTTTTAGATGTAAAAAAAGCTGTTGATGTTAAATAAAAGAATCACTTCAATGTTTTTGAGTGTGTATTAGGCATATTATGTAGGTATGTAGATATAATTATCCAAACTAGGTTTTTTTTTTTGTTTGTTAAGTATTCGATTAATAATACTTTTGGATGTTTTTTCATTTAAAACCCAAAAACACTATATTATTCAAAAGCTGCAAAAGGTTAAAGTACAATGATTCGGGATCAAAAAACATATTGAACTTTTATTGATTAACTGTTCACAAACCATTTTCGTAGGTAGTACAAACTCTGCAGAGATATTCAATTTCAGATGCGGTTCCAAATAAAGGACACGGTATACTGAAGGATCGATTGTCGTTTGTGGTAAACCCGAAACCGTCAAACATTTTATTCAGCCTGATTACTATTTGTGGCGACATTCTCTCTACTACAGTTATATATGATATGCTATATGCGTTAATGAAACTTCAACTGAAAGTCCAACTGTGATGCTTGTCAATTAGGATTTAAGGGCTCGACACTTAAATATTGGTTTTTTTCCATACATTAAGTTCACATTAATACGCCTTTGGTACTTAAGGGCCGTTTCACAATATGGACGCGTATCATACGCGTAGTTGCTCGTTTTTATAGCTTACATTGATAAAGTTCATACTCACCATACCGGCGACGAAAACGCTCCATCGTCGGAGTGGCGCGCATGAATTTTATGAATGTAAATGAAAAATTTTGAGTACCCGGTTATGTTAGGTTAGGGTAGTCCATGTGAAACGGCCCTAAGTCTTAATTTAAAACCCTAATCATTTTAAACGCTGCTCAGGGTCCAATGGTATTTAGACACTTTTTGAATCCACTCGTAATAATAATAATATGGGTAGAGTAACCTCGCTGCTTATTATTCAAGTAAACAGATCATGATTATCTATTTAAAATAGAACTCATTTTATTTTCTACCAGTTGTAGTAATGGTTAAGTATTAATAATAATTGAAATGTAATGAAGAAATTATTTTTTTTGCAAATCCAATCAAAGTTCTGAAATCGTTGAGAATAAATATTTTATTTATTTTTAGAATTATAATGGCACAAGTCTTTAAGTTTTTCTGTTTTGCGATTTCTGTATTACTCGTAAGTATTATTTAGTATTTACTTTTTACTTAACCGTTTTACTTAGTATTTACAAGTTGTGGTATTAATTTATAACCAAATAAACAACAATAATGTGTTGTTTGTACCTAGTTTTTGCAGTTGGCAGATGCAGACGGCACAGAAAAAACTCCTAAAGATGGTGAGAATAATTGTTTAGCATATTTAAATAGCATTCATAAATTATTATTTTGAGAATTTGTTTCTCAGTTTTTTTTTGTAAAAAAAATATTTAGAAATAGCAAAATGTAATTGAATTACGTTTGAAAATACTGCAAGTAATAACTAATTATTGGCAATAACTAATGGTCTAATTAAAAATATGTATGTTCAATAAACCATTGCGTATATAAATCAATATTGTAAAATCACAGGCCAAACTATTATTACGAGTACAATAATGGCGTTACGACTAGTGACATCCGACTAATTGTCCGTTAATAGGAATTCGAAGTAATAGAGTTTCGCGGAAAATGTCCTTAGTACTCTCATAAAATGTAGGCATGCCGATTATCATCATACTATACGTCCAGGGTATACATCCATATAAGTGTGTAATTCGCATTTCGAACCCCGCGAATTTTCCCGATGAATATGTGATATGTGCGATCGACATATTTTGTTCACGTCTGATGTAGGACGATAGGATTAAATATTTTCTATACCAGCAAAAGCCAATATTTGTTTGCGATGTGCGATGTTACTGAATTGATGCGAAACAACGCAGGGAAATTTAATTTCTCCATTCCGTAAATGCGTCCGTGATATTATGTAGTCTGTAAATGACGTGTAATCTTATACTGCGTCGAATTGTTCAGCGAAAAGGTCCAGAACCACTCAGTTATAGTTGACTAGGTAGACTGTATTTTATGTGTACTGTTTTTAAAAGAAAAAAAAATTATTTTTATAATTATTTATGTCGGGGAATATTATACTAGCTTCATTCCCATAAAGTGTATCCGTACATCACCCGTTTAGATCCACTGTACGTGAGTCTCCGAGGTAGGCACGATTTTAAAAAGTAATATTATAGTTTAATGAAATCAAGAATAAGAGAAAACTGACTCTTGTAGAATATATAATATGTATTAGTCACTCCATCACGCTTCACGAAAAAATGATAAGTCCTTCTATTTTTGATTTTTATCGAGGATAGTATTGAAAAAATAAGTAAATATACCGATTTTTTAAATACTACATGGATATATTTCTGTCAAAGTTACTTACAATTTATCGTAGGTTAATTCGCAATTATCGTAACTCCAAAATGACTACTTTTCAGGAAGAGTAAAAAACATCTCATTAATTTAAAAACATTGTTAGCAAATAACTGTATTTGTTAAAATTTATTATTTATGATTTTGTTGATTTTTTTGAATAATTTATATATTTATTAGAATAAGTGAACTTGTGAAAGGAGTTAAGACTTTTTCTAAAAAAAACACACATTTTTAGGAGTTATGATTTTTTCTCTTTTTATTATTTATTTGTGATAAAATAACTTAATTTTTTAGAATCAAAGTATAAAATAATAATTAATTGAAATATAAAACGTTATCAGCCTTGATTATAACATAAAGAATAAAATAACTGAATTTTTCAGTAACAAAATAATATAAGTAATAATAAAAAGAAATAACATACATTATCAGCCTTGATTATAATGTTAGGAATAAAATAACTTTATTTTTAAGTAACAAAATGGTAAATATTGTACATCTATAGCAAATAAACTTTTAATTAATTTAAGTATTTATTATGAAATAGTAACATTAAGAATAAGGTTAAAAAATCATTTATTCTTTGGGCAAATTGTCATAAATAGAGTGATAATCTTTTTCCATTGATGCTTTTAACTGTTGTAAGTGTTCATATTTTTCTTTTTTGATATTGATTCTATGAGTGTGTAATGGTGGTAGTGTCTCAATACTTAATGGGGTTTGTGTAGAGCTATTCCTTGATAAAAGAAGATTCCAGTACAAAACTTCCAATACTCCACAGTCATCTGAAAATTTTAGTTTATAACTTACATTTTTATTAGCTTCATACATTAAAGCCTTTATTTCAGTGACTACTGGATCACCTTTCTTGTTTCCAGGGCGAATTGATTTAAAAAACATAATTTTTGAAAATGATTTAAAAAAGTTAAAACTCAAATACTCAACATAATAGGGGTTTTCGATACATGCAGTTTTACAAGCTGTGACATAGTCTGCGGGTATATTGATTTTTTTATGTCTAATTTTTCTCTCGATTGTTGAGTGCATTGAATCAACCTCCATTTGAGTGTGTCCTCTTAATAAATATTTTTGAATGATTGTAATGCCTGATAACAATGACAAATTAAGAAGAGCGTTAGATAAAGTTGCGTTTCTGTTTTGGTATGTACAACCATCACTGTACAGTATGATTTTAACATTTTGTACTTTAGCAGTGTCAATGACAAATTTCTGTAGGAAATGTACAATTATTGAGCTAAATTCATGTGCAGTTAATCCACGCTCTGTCTCGTTCCACAAATAACAGTAACCGTTTTTTCTTTTTAAATCATACACTGTGAAATTATGGACAATAAGTTTTGTTTTATAATATTGTGATGATACATTTGATTTAGGACATAGTAAAACAGATTGTAAATCCATTGTAAAAACTTCATTTTCTGATTCCTTATCAGTTTCTTTTTCTTGACGAGCTTCAAATTTCATTTGATCATGTAACTGTTTTTGATCAATTGATAAGTTGCCAGTTTCATATGCTGTACATAAATCACATGCATCCTTTTTGGGTTTAAATAAAGAAATATTTTTTTCCTCTAATGTTGTATAAAACATTGCATCACTCATAGGAGTGGTATTATGGGACACACAAAAATCATTACAATAAAAATTGTACAAGGATCTTTTTGTAAGCCAGTTGAGTTCTAAGTATAGTTTTGAGGTACTTGCTCTGCAGTAGTGACTTTCCAATTTAGGTAATAATTCAAAAAATGTGTTTAATAATAATTTCCTATCAGAAATACTTTGGTGTATTATAATAGTTGTAGAAGTCGATTCTAAATTGTTGTTTTCAGTATTATCTTCACCTGAAAATTCTGTTTCTGAATGGCTTTTATTAATTATTTTTTTAATCATGTTTTCTCCTATATCAAAAGTATTTAGAAACATTGTTTTGCAAACTCTTATGTTATTTAAATAATATTGTACTGATGAGTTTCTTTTTGTTGAACATAAACCTCTTTTTCTTGCTGTTGGGAGTATCTTCATATTATTTTTCAAAAACTGTATTCTAGCTTCATTATTAATAATAGCCCAAAACGATTTGAAAATATTGTTTCTTTGAGTTTCTGTTACTTCTTTACAATTAAGTATACAATTTTTTTTTGTTTGAAGGACACAATTGCAAGGATTTTTCAATGATTTAGCAGATTTGTGTACATTATATTTCCACACACCATCAATTTTTTTTTTACCAAAATATTCTTTTCCTTTCAATCTTTTAGTTTTTTGAAAATTCTTGTTCCAATGTTGTGGTTTTCCACGTTTCTTTCTTTTTCTTAAAAATGACTCAGGCAATTCAACAGTATCTGATTCTTGCAAGTTAACATCATAAGTAATGTTTAACAAATCTTCTTCAGTGTTATTAGTACTTGAACTTGCTTCTAAATCTGAACCATTAAGTGAGGTAAAAATAATAGTACTTACTTAATATTATACATTTATTCTTAATATTATATTATAATATAGATTATAAATAAGTACCTATGTCATTACAAGATGCATTGAATATAAATGGTGGCTGCTCTGAGTGGTTTCCTAATGCAAGATCATTGTCTAGCACAACTTCATTATTATCATTAACTACCAGGTCAACTACAGATTCAGTACCTAAAATACATTAGGCAGTTACAAAAATAATAGTACTTACTTAATATTATACATATATTCTTAATATTATATTATAAAATAGATTATAAAAAAGTACCTATGTCATAATAAGGTGCATTGAATATAAATGGTGGCTCCTCTGAATGGTTACCTAATAAAAGATCATTGTCCAATACAACTTCAACATTATTATTAACAGCTGCAGTAGTGTCAGTATCTACAATAATAATATTATAGTTCTATTTTATATGTTATAAAAAAAATATGTTGTCCTTATAATAATAGTGGTTAAATTGTAAGTAGACAATATAGTATTATTAAATTATTGATGCTTTACCAGTAATTGTATAGTTATTTGGAACTAAACTTAACAGTTTTTTTGTTCTTGATCTGGACGTCATTATACTTCAATATTATAATATAATATCAAAAACTAAATAATAATATTGTAATTTGTAACGTCTAACTTTGGATTAATAATATTTCATCACATGTTATGGAGATACGACAATTTCCCTTGGTTGGAGGCTACTTGGAGTTGAGATATTTTCGTCCGAACGTTAACAGCTGATTCATGGAAGAGAAATTGTCTTATCAGAGTGAGAATGGTTTTAAACGATGCGTTAATTTTTTTCTAAAAAAAATAAATAATAATCTCAAAATCGTCATTTTGGAGTTACGATAATTGCGAATTAAGCCGACGTATTATATTATATACACGCAAATATTTATTGAAAACCGTAGACTGAAAGATATACGTGGATATACGTGGCACGTGGTTAATAATTACTAAATGCCTTAAATCTATTGAGTACTACTGGGAACTGAAAGATTTAAAGATTAAAAATGTAAAATATTCGAATTAAAGATGATTTTGAATAGCCAGAATAATATTAATGAAAATATTACGGTAGTTTAAACTACTTTGTTTTATTTTAAGTTATCGATTGTGATGCTTATAGTAGTATCATTGTATCTATTATAATATACTCATTGGTAATAAATAATAATCTTCAGTTAAATATAATATTGTATACCAAATACTAGTTTTTGTTGTATTATGTTAAATTACCACAGTCATGGGAGTAATTTTGTGTGATATCTTTTCGTATTTTTAAAGATACCGAACCAAAAAGCGAAGACGGAGAAGAACACACAGCACCTTTTTTAAAAACAATTGGTAAAGTTACCGACAGTAGACCTGTAAGAATGGTAAAACAGGCAACAGGTATTGCGGCAGATCAATTGAAATCAGTTACAAAGAAATTTGAATCTAACTTGAATGAGGAGTCAAAAAAACAAGTGAACGGTAAAAACCTAGAATAAACGTTAAGCATATCTATTATTATTAGGTATTTGTTTTTATACTGATCTGATTTACTTTTTTGCTTTTCTCGTAATTCTAAATAATATAAATCTAGATTTGTATACCTACACATATAATAAGACTGCTTAAAATGATTTTTAATGTAATATGTGAATAGCACATACGTACTCATAATAATTAATTTTATAAAACGTACAGTAAAAATACTTAATATTAATCTCTCGAGAGAATAAACTATGTACCAATATTATATTGTTATTGCACGTAATATTATGTTTTTAAAATAGATGAAAATTCGATAATTCCAAATTTTATTAGAAATAATTTAATTCAACCTGGTAAAGCCGCAGCCCAAACAGGAATCGATATTCTTGCTGAACCTGTTGAAAAAATTGTATCTAATATCAAAGACACATATAAGGATGAATTAGCTAAAGCAGAAAGTGAGTACACTTACCTTTACATTATATCACTTATGAAAGTTTTGATTTAGATTGCAGTCATCATACTATTATTATACATGTGCTTCGGGGAAAATAATTGGTTCTGACTTAATAATCTTCAATATTTTCAAAATGCTCAAATGGCCCGAATGGAATATAATATTCCCAAAAACATAAAACATATGATTTGTTTTAATTTATCACACATATTGTTAAAATTCGGTTTAGGCATTGATAAGAGTAACTTTTTACACATAATATTTTTCCACTAAAAATGTTGATTTTCACTTCTCAATTCAAATAATATTATGTATTATACAATGTTTTAGAGGAAGAAAGTTATGTTCCTGTAATTGGATCTTATACCAAAATAGCAAATAAACCAGTTGCTATATTAAGGGCCTCGAAAAATATTGTTGGAAGTACATTAGGTAGCATGTTTGGAAGAGCAAAATCGTTTTGGGGTTCAAGTAAAAAAGACTCAGGTATTATATTATACATACGAAAATAATATAAGCAATACGACGCAACCCATGACCTAATTAATGCTCGTAATATAATATGCAGTTTAAATATCTAAAAAGCATAAATGAATATTGAATTTGTATGTATATATGTGTATCGCATATATTTATATAGCTTATTATTTTTAATATCAAGTAGGAATAATAAAACTATTATCACTAATATAATTTCAAGGAACAAATTAGAATTTAATATTCTCGAAAGTTCAATTTGATCAAACAATTTGAGTATAAACATATTGTATAAAGTATGAAGGAAACATAAAAGTGAGATTTAGTGAATAACAAAGTATAAATACTTATCATTGATTTTCTATAAAATGATTTACTTTTTGAACGTAACCTAACCTAACCAAACATCCTAAAACATTTGATTCGCTTCATTCAGAGAAGATAATATTTTCTCTTCCTGAATCGTATCATTTATTTACACATATATGCATCGATTTGTTTAATTATATTTTAAAGAAATTTATATTTTTTTTATGTATGGTCAAGACACTAGCTAAAAAATCTGAAAAAGAAGACAAATGAAGATACAAAAAATAACTGAATTCGTGTTTTTTTTTAAAGACAATAGAATGATAATCATGGTTTGAACATGTTAATGAATAGTATACAGATCGATAACTATAAAAATATTTAGAAATACTTGAGTACTTAACACTGTTGGATTCAAAATACAAAAAAAAAACAGACAAAATATTTATTACAATTATGTATTTATTACAATAATTATTATTTTGTATAAATTATTACTAAGAATTTGTAATTCCAATTATTTTACATAATACAATTTAAAATACCCACAGTCCGATTTCTTTTTATTTGACAACGAACAAGATTTATATTTAGCAGGTAATCCAATTAATGTTTATTGTATTGTTACCATTATAATCATAAAATGTACTACTATGCCAATATAATTATATACCAGAAAATAAAAATGTATTCGATTTTCTATATTATACATTTTTAGAGATTCATCAAAAAAGTTTATTGCTTTTATACCAGCCACATGGAAAAAACAATAAACCTCTGCTGTCACTGCAATCGAAATCTAAAATAATGTTCCCTTTGAATCTGTTTTTAATTATTTTATTATACATGATACATCCAATGGTTTATCTTTAGTACAATTGTGTAAACATTTATTCTACCATTGCGAGAAAAGTATCTACCAAGACCGGTTACTGCAAGTTTTTCTACAACTACTGAAAATATCAAAAAGTGACTACACAAAATCGAAGCATATTATACTCCCAGTGATTTTGATTTTGGTTTCCAGCGAGTGGGTACAGTAGGTGTCATGTGGGTCATTGTAATCGATGCGTGTTAGATTTGAATTCAATACAACATCATCATTGTATACGAAAAACGATTCTGAGTGGAGATGAGCTGACAGCCAATATCGTGTATAAGTATTTCATATTTCGCTGATATGTTTTTTGATATTACTTTTAAAGTAACTCATTTAGGAACTTGAATTTTATAGCTCCCCCCCCCCCACACTCAGGTTTGTTATCTCCCCGCAATTCCTAATAATAAATATATTGTACCTACAAATAATCTAATAACTCGAAGGAAAAAACGTACCATGACTATTAGGTACCTAACATAGGTGTTTATCCCATAACATGGGTTATTTAAGAACTAGAATCAAATCGATATATCGATCAAATATCACAATGCGTTTGTACTAAGCTTGGCATACGTTTGTACGAAGGTTAGTCGTTATTCGGGTACTATGTATTCGTATGAATTTAAAGGATTTATTAAACGATAAAATTGCTGGAATTCAATTTATCCAGTCCAAAAATATTTTAGATACCTATGACAATTACGTGTGAAAATGGCCACAATACAATATAAACTTGTTTGAAGCATTAAATCCTTAAATAAAAAATGTAAAGTTTTTTAGATTTTTAACTACAAAATAATTTGAAGATACTAAATAGCGTTGTAAAATGTTGAACTTCAGAGGTTTTGAAAGAAATCTACGTATCTTTAATATTATTAAATTATATAAATTATAACCACTTTTGAGGATCCTTGTATTATATTTTCAAGGTTTTTGACCAAGTGAATTAATTTTTATCGATATGATGATATTTCTATCGAAAAACTAAAAAATATAGAACGTTCCAAATGTCTATAAACCATTAAAGTTCCTACGGTTTGGTTTATTTTTGAGTTACTACAAAATAACAAAATCCATTTTAACCTAGTTGATTGAAAAAAAAGTATCAAATAAATTAACTTTTATACCAGAAATGCAGCTGAAGTACAAAAACAAAGCATTTGTACGTCCTTAATAGGTAACAAGACACAAAAATTGTTTTTAAAAAAAATGAACGCACCATTGTCGAATCAAAACATTCGTCAGTCACCCCGCTCAAAATCTAAAATTGAAAACTACTGAGCTGAAAATTCTTACCTTAATGTCGTGTAAAATACTCATAGAATTGAAAACTTGTTAGTTACATGATTTCTTTTCTTATTTCAATGGACTGCAATCTGGAATTGCTATCTTTTTTATCGACAATAATCAAGATATCAAGGAATCATGACATCTATGACACTTAGCTTCAAACATTTAAAAACAACTAATACAAAATGTCACATTTTTGTCTTAAGCGTTTGCTAAGAAGATCACTGGGGAATGAAAGATACTTGTAGGTAATTTATGAGTATGGTTTGGTGGTGGTTTTTAGTCTAGAGAAAGAACATTTATAAAAAAGTTCAGGCTTATACTCCATTGGTTTAATGTCAAGGCTATTGTAGAAGGAGGTAAGTTAGAGACAAGGCGTAGTGGAGTGTTTGTTATTTTACGGAGTGTTATGTCTTTTAATACTTGAATGTTATTTACATTTGATTTATTCCAACCCCTATAGTGTTGTATCCCGTGCGACCATACTGGTTTTAAAAGTGTCTTATAAATAAGCAGTTTAGTCTTAAGGCTTGTACATTTATTTTCCGTCAGAAATATTATTAATGCACGAGAGCGACCTCTGAGGTAAAATCTTTTTGACTTAATATATGTTTACTCCCGGTTGATCTCTTATCAAAGTAAAGACTTAAATACTCAACCGAATCAAGTGAAGGAATAAGTAAATTATTTAATGCCAAATTTTATCAGAATCCATGTCTTAAAGTGAAGGTCGTGTGGTTAATTTTATATGATTTCACTTGATTGAGTATAAGTCTTATACTGAACTGTAAAATGACTGGGATAAATGACACTTAAAGGGTGACGGTATTGTACATTACTAGCACTACAGTTAACAGGTAAATTATTATAATTATTTACATTAGGTTCCTTATGGTTATAAAGATGTTTATATACTGAACATCCCCTGTAGTTAACAGACTAGTTGCTAGAACAGAGGGCATATCTCAGAGGGTATTAGAGTGAATTTGGGCAGACAGATGAGTAGTGATCGAGTAGTGATGAGCGGACACTACGAGACATAATATAACCAATACACGACTTAGTATGGCTGCACTTTGACAGTTGGAATACTGACTGATGATTTAAGTTGCATAAGGTTTTTCTGATTTGATTTTAGCATGTTACAAAGATTCATGTGGCTTAAGTCCGACGAAAAAGTGGAAGTAGATTTTTATTGAGTCTGCGGATTTCTCGTGTAACTCGTTTGACATCAGACGCAAAACAACTTCACTTTAAATTATGGCTGTTGGAAAAGATAGATGAAGGTTACGAAAAACTACACGAGTTGGTTTATCCACTTTTAATTGAAAAGTATACAGAATTCAACAAGTTCTTTTGACTCTATTAGTATTTAACTAACGAGATCTGTATAATTCAGTGCTCGAGGTTTGAATTTTAAGGTGGTCACCAGTTGATTATTAAAAATAGAAATCATCGACGGCAATCAGATAAATTAATTATGTACACAGGAAAGTTTTTCATGCCACAAACAAAGATAGGCGAGGTGGTTTAAAGGGACTGGTGATAAGCATTTTTTCGGAAATGGGATATTAATATTGATTTCAATACATGTATCATTATGGCAATGGATCATTTTGATAAACTATTAAAATCAGAAATTAAAATTGATCTGACATATTTTCATTGGAAATAAATTATAAATAGGCATATACGTATAATAATACTATTTCACACAATTGTAAACATCATTATGTGTTATTAAAATTCAAAGCTTCACACAGTATATATGAATAGCATAAGAATGAGCTGTATAGTAAATTACTAAAACATTTGTTTTAACATATTTCAAGTTAATAGACAAATTTAATATCCTTTCAAACATTAGTATTAACAGAGTATTCAATTATTGGTACTTATCCAAAAATAAATTAAAATAATTGTTACTAAACATTTTCAAATACATATCACTAATGTAAAATAATTTATAATTTATTCTTAGCTATTGAAAAAAATATGCCTTTTTAGAAAAAACAATTTTTTTCTCAACAAAAATGTTCAAAACGTTATTTGTTTGTATACAAATTTAGAACTAATAGGTAGAAGTAAGAACATAACGTAATTCGTAGCATAGTAGTACAAAATATAAAATACTATTTGCGTTTTCATATAATTTACTTCCAAATTAAAATGTTTAAGATTTTAAAATAATGCAAAAGAATCTACTTCGACAAGTAAGACATTTTAATGATTGTAAGTTTGAAAATGGCACGGTAAGTGCGCTGTTCTGTAAAATGTAAAAAATGTATTTTTTTTACATATTATGTTTATATTATATATATAAATCTAATTAGAGCAATTTTTTTCTATATTTCTGAACGTTCGACAATCCAATATTAACATCAATTTTACTTATTATTAAAATAATTGTATTATATCAAATTATCAAATGATACAACAATAAAATTGTGTACTTTTAAATAATTAAATATTAAAAAAAAATAAAAAACCAATTTGTTAGGTTTATTATATTTTTTATTGTTAATTGTATTGATTTGGATTGGTAAATAGACATTTTTTTGGTAAAAGCTGTAAAAATAACATATCTAATAATTTATATAGGAACCAAAATGTATTTTTTTTACCATTTTATAACTATGGTTTTACATTCAGACTAAAAGTTTTCTTGAATACAATGAATATTAATGAATCTTAGTTAGACATTAAATATTTGTTGCCCTATACATTTTATATAAATATTAAACGCATTCATGTGTATTTTCGTTTAATCCGATACCGTAGGGTATTAGATATTTCATTCAACTGAACAATATATTATGTTATTTTTCACAACGAAATTTATTGCATAATACTGATTTTACTTTAAAATAAATAAAAACAATTGTAGATACCTGGTTATTGATCGAACATTTGAGAGTGTAATAAATCAGTCAACAATTATTGTTGACTGATTGATTACATTATATTTGATTGATTAATGGCAATTTCTTCTTGTTGTAGATATCACAATGAATATTTTCACAATGTTGTACTTATTGCCTTATGTGTTACTTGTAAGTATTACTATTAAATAAAATATAAATATTGACACAAATAATGAATAATAATTATCCAATTTATAGTTGCCGCAAATAGCGACTACGGCTGCTGTGATCGGTAAGAAGTGTATATTTATTTTTAAGTCATACGAGTACAGTACAATGGTAAATGTTATTGATATTTTTATTTTTAAGTTGTTAATGTTCATTTTAAATTTTAAAATTATAAAAACAACACGGCACCTAATATATTTCTGAACTAACAGGCCAAGGGACAGAAAACGACGTTCAAAATCTGTTGCTGGAAAATGATTCAAAAACCAGTAAGTAACTCCTGTTGATAGAATTCTATAAATTGTAATATTTTAGGTATAATATTTAAAATATGTTAGTTGTCAACAATTGCTTTACTCGGCCAAAAAAAATTAACTTGAAAAATGTATTTTAAATAAAATAATATTACAATGAAAGTATATAATATGTATGTTTGAAAAAAAGATGAAAACGATGGATCCACAGCAGTTATTGATCAAAAAAGTGCAAGTAAAAATGAAACACCACCAAAAACATTGAGTACAGTTTTCAAAATAATCTCAAGAGGAAACGAACTTAAAAATCAATATGGTTTCATAATACCGAAATTGGCATCTATGATGCTAAAAGGTGATAAGGGAATATAATTCATAGCACTGCATAATAATAACATATTTTTTTTATAATAGTGTTAAAATATTTAAATTACTAAGGTTTCGATAACTTCAGAATGGTTTTATATAATATTGGATTGTATAAGATTTACAAAAAAAAAAAGTTTGGATCGCAGGACGCTTTATTATCATAGTATTATACCACTATATATATTTAATAGTATTATGTATATTACATTCAATTATTTATATTCTATAGGTTTGTCAATGAATCCATTCAGACTTATGAGCTTTTTGCCGTATATCATGCTGGTGAGTATCTGAGTTTAACGAAAAATTATTAGAGTAAATAATAACAATTTCGTGAAAAAAAAATGGTTCTTATTCCTTAGGCATTACAAAAGGCAAACGCACCTCCAGCGGTTAGTGAGAATTGCATATTTTATTTAAGAAAGTAGATCAATTTTAAATTATTATAATTCTATAGGTACTCTATTCAGATCATTTTACACTATATAACACTACTGTTAGATAATATTAGTACCTATATTCTACTTATTGCATTTGTTTTCTTTCACGTCGTGAATACTTTTAAACTTTTTTTTACATACCTATACTTCAAAAAGTTGAAATTGGACTTACCTTTAGTTTTCAGTATAGTTAAAGGACAAACTCTAAAATAAGAAAAGAATAAAACAAATTGAAATTGAAAACATAAAATTTAAAAATATTGAATTTGAATAAATATATTTTGGTTGCAATCATTAGTTTTGTTTGATGAATTTGTTTTTATAAAAATGATATAAGTATAATATATATAACATTTCATGATCAACCTCTATACTACTGTAAACATTTAAAGTTTTAACAACTTATTCATTTTTAATAATGTCTTAATAATTGTATTTATACTATAGTTAATTTTAAGATATATCTGATAAACTTGAAACAAATCACGACTTGTAAAATCAGTTTTGTAAGATTAATATTTAATTTTGTGTATTTAAGGTGTTTACCCATTTAATCAATTTATTTTAATTTACAACTTTCATATCTCAACTTTAGCTTATAACAAAATATACATTTATATTCCCAAAAAATATATCATTATACAGGGTGAATCCCCAAGTACACTCACCCTAAATTTTTTCCTTTAATCATGAATTTATTCAGATTCAGAGTTTTGGGATTTTTTAAACATTTTCAAATTCTTAAATTTGTTTATACTACTAGGAGTGTCTTTTGGTGACACAAACTCCTATTTTTCACACAAGAACCCCTTTGTCTCAACAGTAAATTTTTCAGTTTATAAAATCAAGTTCAGAAACATAGAAACTTTTTCTAAGAATAAAATGTCTATGGTAATGGGCTTATAAGAATTGGGGGCTAAGGTGATTTGAACATTTTAGTCATTAAAATCACCCTGTAAACACAATATTGTTTTTAAGAACATAAACATGGTCATGATAATTTTAAAATTTATTCTACAAGGCAAACAATAGAGATTATTAATTAATAATATGAACTCGGTTATATTAAATAACAATATTCAATTAAAAGTATAACTTACAACATAACTTGTATTAAACAGGTTCACAAAGAAGTTTGGAACAAAAATATTAATCGTATTAGTATGAAATCAAATACATAGTACAAAAATATAAATATACACAAAATACATGTAGGTTGGGAACAAAATACAGTTATACTTTAATCAATCAATATTTTATAGAAAATCTTAAGTTAGTGTATATTATGTACATTTAATATGAAAATTTTGAAAGCCATTTTTAAATATCTGAGTAAGATATCAACAATAATAGTTAAACAAGTTTAAAGATACGTTTCCTCGCTATCCCCTTCCACGTCTACACAATGGTATTTTGGGATACAGGTATGAGTCCCATACTCCATTGTTTGTCGTATGTTTTTTGATGGTTTTTAACAGGGTTTATACTTTTGTGGTGCAAACTTAGCACTTCAATATGAAATCAACATTTTTAAGTCGATGACTACTGAAATAATTTCTCCGAGTTACAAATTTGAATCTCAGAAACGTCAGGGCTGTGTCGATAGGCCAGAAAAATCGTTAACTTTCGACAATACCATAAAAACAATTGTTGATAAATCTATAAGGCTTAAAGTATGCAAGCTAAAATTTTATCGAAACCCAACTGAACGCGAAAATTATTAATGGGAGAAAAAATACAACGTATAGATGAGCGAATCTAGTGGGCTGCATCCGAGTTGGGACCGGGCATTAATATTCCTATATTAGTTGATTTCTAGATTATATTTTTTGACACTACACTGTTTCTCAGTCCTAGATTTTCTTCAGTACCTATGCTACACGCAAGTCCGGTCCCTGATTTTTCATCCTGGTTTTAACTTGGATCGTTAGGATTCATTTTCTTAAATAAACGCGAAATTTAAAATTTTGTTGTAACGATAACCGATTTCTCTAACCTGGGAGACGATACAACATATGTAATTATAAGATTAATTACTATTATTTATTGTTTGAAGTTAAAGTATGATTATTAACCTAACGCAATATTTCTTTTTGTAATATACAACTTAAGAACAAAGCAGCACTCAGATACTTGAACTCAGCAACACAAATCTCGCATCGGTACTCGAATATCCTGAACTGTTCAGGAAAATTTTTTCGAAAGAAGGCAGCAGTAAATTGGCAGTTGATTCGTTAAAAATGTTAGCAGGTCAAGAACCTAGTGCTGACATAGATAAACTGATAAACGAAATAGAAAACCACGCAACCGATAGTAAGCGCATTATAATAATATATTATTAAGTACGTAATTATGTAAATTACTTTAATGCCTTTCAATTTTAAATTATAATATAATGTATATGTGTAAATCTCTTGAAAACATCAATAATGCACAATTTATTTCTTAAATGTTTGGTGTAATCTTTAGACTTATCGAATGAAAATTACTATAAATAATTATGATACATAAAATATCCCGCATTTTAGTAAAAGACGGCAAGATTGGGATTAAAGGTCAACAACTTGTTGATTTTCTTGAAAATTCTGAAACTTTCAAAAAGTTATTCCAAACGGACCAACTTACAATCAAAAGTCTGAACTACATGAACGCTTATATGAATTCTTATTTAAGCACAGACGTTAAAAATATAAAAGATGAAGTGTTGACCGAAATGCAAGACATAAAAAATACTCGTCAAAAAAGTAAAAACATAAATTATTTAATTATATTAGTTAAGTGCACTATTTAATTCGATCAAATGTGAATCATGATATAGGTAATATTATTATTATAACTTTAATTTATATACTTATATTGAAGTATTGAACATATCATTAAAATTGACAAGGTTTTTTATACTATTGACTAAATATTATGTACTTAAAATATAAACTCGTGTAAAAATGAATGGATATTGGTAAAAGTTATTAATATTATAAATTTAAAAACATGCTTTGGCTATTAAAAAAAAATTGAAATTACATAATATTTAATTACAAACTTGAAAGTAATAATCACATTAATATATTGTAATAGAAAACGGTTTTAATAATTCAGTTTACTATTTAAGTTTTTATAGGAAGTTATTATTATTTCAATTTAATTTTAGTTAGCTCATAAAAAGAATAAATAATTAGAATTTATAAATATTTAATGGATTGTATAAATAAATAAATACCTACGATCTTCTTGCTTTTAATTATCAGCATATTTTGTTTTAAGCATTTTAGTTTAGACTATTACCACGTACCTATATATTATAATAAAACTATACTATATTTATGCGCAGATCAAAATATGAGTAATAACTCTGTCAAAGAAATGGTACGAGGGACATTTTCAGACGGTGTAACAGCTTTTTTCAAAGTTGGGCAGAAAAAAATGAATGAAAAGTTACAAAGTTTAAGTTCAGACGCTGACAAAAATGTTGCTGATTGGAAAAAAAATTCCGGTATGCCAATAATTTAAAAAACAGTTGATACAATTAATATTTAAATACTTAGTTGACCACGCAGATGCGATTGGAGTTTTACTCGTTACATTAAAAACATTTACTTCCGGTATTATTAATTAATACAAATAATTATTCATAATAATTATTTTAATATTACCTACCTATGTATATATA